GGTAGGGAAGGCCCAAGGGAGGAAGTGCTCATCAAATTCAGCAGAGAAAGCGTTTCTCAGAGGTGTGACTGAAAGACAGGGAGATGACAGGGCGGAGGGAGATGACGGAACGGAGGGATGAGGGAGGATGGGATAGAGGAGAAAACAGGATAGTGGGATAAGGTGGTGAAGGTGGGATAGAGGGACAGGGTTTAGGGGGAGAACTGATGAGTTCTTGCTTTATGTTTTGAAAATCTCTTACTGGTAGACTGTTCATTAAGGTTCGATCACATGGAATACATACAGGGGGAGCTAGCCATTTGGATACAGAACTGGCTTGAAGGTCAGAGACAGAGGGTGGGGGTGGAGGGTTGCTTATCAGACTGGAGGCCTGTGACCAGCGGTGCGCCACTAGGATCGGTGCCGGGTCCACTGCTTTTTGTCTTTAATATAAATGATTTAGATGTGATCTTAGGAGGTATGGTTAGTAAGTTTGCAGATGACCACCAAAATTGGAGGTGTAGTGGACAGTGAAGAAAGTTACCCCAGAATACAACGGGATCTTGAGCAGATGGGCCAACGAATGGCAGATGGAGTTTAATTTAGATAAATGTGGGGTGGTGTAATTTGCAAAAGGTAAATCAGGGCAGGGCTTATACACTTTATGGTAAGGTCCTAGGGAGTGTTGCTGAACAAAGAGACTTTGGAGTGCAGGTTCATCGTTCCTTGAAAGTGGAGTCGCACTGTAGACAGGATAGTGAAGGTGGTGTTTGGTAAACTTGCCTTTACTGGTCAGTGCATTGAGTATAGGAGTTGGGAGGTCATGGACAGGACAGTGGTTCAGCCATTTTTGGAATATTGCATGCAATTCTGGTCTCCCTGCTATATGAAAATTGTTGAGAAACTTGAAAGGGTTCAGAAAAGATTTACAAGGATGTTGCCAGTGTTGGAGGGTTTGAGCTACAGGGAGAGGCTGAATAGGCTGGGGCTATTTTCCCTGGAGTGTCGGAGGTTGAGGGGTGACCTTATAGAGGTTTATAAAATCATGAAGGGCATGGATAGGGTGAATGGGCAAGGTCTTTTCCCCAGGGTGGGGGAAAGAGTCCAAAACTAGAGGGGCATAGGTTTAAGGTGGGAGGGGAAAGATTTAAAAAAGGGACCTGAGGGATAACTTTTTCACACAGAGGGTGGTGCGTGTATGGAATGAGCTGCCAGAGGAAGTGGTGGAGGCTGGTACAATGACAACATTTAAACAGCATCTGGATGGGGACATGGATAGGAAGGGTTTAGAGAGATATGGGCCAGATGCTGGCAAATGGGACAAGATCAATTTAGGAAATCTGGTTGGCATAGACAAGTTGGATCACAGGATCTGTTTTTGTGCTGTATAACTATGACTACAGTTAGGAAGTGAGAAAAAAGTTTCTTTGATTGGACAGACTGGTTGAAGTGAGATGTCATGTGACAACACCTCCCAGACTGTCCAGCCAGAGTTGCCCCCACCCACACTTTTCAGAGCTGGGTCTGCTTTCCTGCACTGTCCCCATGCCAATGCCATTAGCCTGTGGTCTCCCTGCCATCCTCACCTCCAGGGAAAAGGTTCCCACCACCGGCTTGTGGTCACTGATTCCATACTGCATTTGGCTGTTGTAGGTGTTTAAAATCACACTGATCGTTTTCTTTGGGTCAGATGTTGGGGGCTCACTCCCTCCAGCCTCGGAACATTCCTTCAGTCGCCACAGGATCCGATCTGTCCAGGCCGGTTTCCGTTTCTTCCCACTGGCACAGGCAGGAGGAAGCAATGTCAGAAACTGTAGGGAGGGGCAGGTGAGAGAAGAGGGCACAGCCTGGGCAGGGGGGTGGAAATCCAAGCCTCTGTCAGATAGCCCCTGGGTGGGGGTCAGTGAGGGGTTCTGTTTGGGTGTGAGGTGTGATCCTGGGATTGGACATGATGGTCCCAACACAACAGAACTGGGCTGGGAGAACTAAAATACCCCACTGCAACAGTGAGGGAGGGAGGTGTGTGTGTGTGTGTGTGTGTGTGCACATGCGTGCATGGCTCTCTCTCTCTGGGGGAAGGACAGGGACTGTCTATTGTGGCAGTGTGTTCTCATGGTAAGGGACCAGTCTCCCAAACCATGCCCCTCCCTTGAACAACCAAGCCATGTGGCTCCATTGACCAACAGATGGATTTGTCGAGCAAAGGGATCAGGGAGCCAGGTTCACATAAAGAATGGTCAAACATGCTCAAGGGCAGAATGGTCTCCTCCTGTACCAGAGGGAGAGGCACAATGGGCTGAATGGCTTCCAATAGTTCTTTGCCCAGTATAAGAAACACAAAAGGCAGGGAATGGCTGTGGCAAGGACCAATGGCAGATTGAAGGGGTAGGGGGGCGTTGTGGGGAGGGCATGTGGCCCTGGGGGGACGTTACCTCATATTGTATTCGGTGGAGGCCAGGTTGAATTTGTAGGTGGGCGTGAACTGCAGCTCTCCTTCCAGAAATCCATTCAGCATTGGCTCAGTTTTCTTCGCTCGGTTCAGCTGTCAGCACAGGAAACAGGGAGAACACATCACTGTATAAAACACCACCTCAAAGCACCATACCCTGCATCTAACCCCATGCTGTCCCTGTCCTGGGAGTGTTTGATGGGGGACAGTGCAGATTGAGCTTTACTCTCATTGAGCTCCCTATCTAAAGGCATCCCAATGCCTGCAGGGTGATCTTCATGCCCAATGGGACAGCACCAGAGGCCATTTGGAGTCTGACCATGGAGGTCACACCTTGCTGATGGCTGTTCAGCAAAATGTTTCACCCCCCACCAAAGAGTCCAAGTTGCTACAGCAATGTACCTGCTCCTGGTCCAGAGTAGCGGTGCTTATCCACTGTCTGACCACAGCTCTAAGCACTCAGTGTTTAAACAGGAAACATTTATATCAAACGCACACAAAACCGGAAACTGCTGGTAGCCATCTGACCTTTGACTTGACCCCCTTAGGCCTTGGGCCTCACCTGGTCCTTGTCCCACAGCAGGTGGTAGCATTTCTTGCTGATGGTCTCTCGGATGAAGTGTAGGCCGTGGTCAGCAATGCGAAAGTTGAGATCGCCAAACCAGAAAACCAGGCTGTGCCAGACAAAACCCATTAATTACCACAAAACAAAACGCTACAACAACCCGCAACAGCCAAATGTGAAAACAAACCCCCCAAAAAAAAAAAAAAACACAATCAGGACAGCTTGTATCAACCGGTTTGTCAAAGGACAGTTGGAGAACAGGCAGAGGGCACCCTGTGCCCACACCACCAAGCCTCAGTGAGGGACAGGCCCGCTCCCACAAACGCCTCGGAGAGAATTATGAAGCTGGGAGATGATGTTAAACCGCACTTGGCGTGCTGTACGCTCCGGGCTTCATTCCAGAAGGTTTTGGTGATACCCAGGATCTATTGACGGTCCCATTCCCAGTGCCTCCCACAAAAACAGCACCGACCTGACACAGACACAAGGAAAGGCTCACTTCAACCCCACAATCTCTCTTTCATGGTAAAGCAATGTGTAATATCTCTGCTATCACAGTGACTGAGGGTAACCCAGCACTGAATCCAAGTGAGGAACATCTACAGCACATTAATAAAGATTGGTAAGAAAGAGGCTCAATTGGCAAAATTAACAGCACTGAAGCTGCCTAATGTTTTGTTCATGAGAAACAGGAGTTAACTGTTCACTAAAACACACCAACCAACAATCTCTATGTGAAAGTTGTCCCTTCCAGGGATCACTGCGCCTACGCTCTGCAATGTACCACGTCAGAGACACTCAGACCCAGCGGCTTCTGTTTCTGGGGGTAAGTGGCACTAGATTTTGGGGCGTGGTCAAACAAACAGTGACCCACCGTGAGAGGAATCTGCAGACACATCGGGCATTGCTGGTATATCTGTGCCCTAAGAGTGGGGATCTGGGGAGAAACTTCTCAGGACAGAGCAGACAGGTGGCAGGGAGTGATCTGGGCGATGGTCAGATGGAGGAGGATGAAGGAACTGTGATAACACATCACCCGCCACCCCGTGGGCACACCATGCTCAGCACCCCCCGTGGGCACACCATGCTCACCCACCGCCCCGTGGGCACACCACCGCCCCGTGGGCACACCACCGCCCCGTGGGCACTCACTCGTGATTGAGAATGGTTTCTGCTCTGCTGCCAGTGAATTGCTGCAGTTCCAGGATCCGCTCGAAGGAATCCAGTCTCTGGCTCGTGTTCTCAATGTGAGCTGGCAGGTGGCAGTTCAGAAAACAGATCAGGTGCCCGTAGACAGACAGACGGACAGTTACACCACCCTTGTTACCCTGGATGGGTGGGGAGAAGGGGGGAAAGAGGGGGAGAGGAAAGCGAGGGAGGAAAGTGAGAGAGAAAATGAGAGAGATGATCAGTTCCCAGTAGATGTTGTACAGTTGATCCCATTCCATTCCATGATCTCACACTTGGGGCGGGGGGGGCGGGTGGGGGGTGCTGGTCTGGGAGTGGGTTGGGCACCAGGAGAGAACACCAAATCAACAGACCCCAGAGTTTAAAAACCAGGCGGGAAAACACACCGACGCTTCATCAGAGACTGCACTGAGGATGTTACCCAGCACGGTAACGAAACGTCTGCGAAACAACAAAACAGCTCGGCGAGCCAACCAACCTCAAGATAACCCCCAATCGCCAACAGCCCACACACCCACACACAAACCTCATTCGTCCCCATCCCTAACCACACAGAGCACAGTTGTACAGTTAACGTGTATTCTGGAGGTCTGACCACATGGCGTGGCTGTGGGACTCATGCTGCTGGTTTATGTTCTGGTCTACACCAGGTCAGTGGGCACATATGTACCAGCCACCCAGTTCTCAGTGCCTGGTGCTGGCAGTGACCTGGCTCAGGGTGGGCAGCTCCTCTTGGGCACATGACTCCCCAGCCTAGGACAACCTGCCAGTTTCTCAGAACTACAAAGAAAAACCATCACCAATGAAATATTCGAGGAAGTGTTTGCAGAGTTACTGACCATAATCCCTCCTCCAAGCCGAGGATCTCATGGAAACCCACAAAATTCTAACAGGACAAGACAGGAAGGATGTTCCCGATAACCGGGTGTCCAGAACCAGAGGGTCACGTTGTAAATATGCGACACAAACCATTAAGGACTGAGATTAAAAAAAATGTCTTCACCCAGAGAGTGGGAGCCTGTGGAATTCACTGCCACAGAAAACAGTTGAAGACAAAATATTGAATGTTTTCAAGAAGCAGTTGTATAGAGTTTTTAGGGCTAAAGGGAGTGAAGGACATGGGGAGAAGGTGGGAACAGGATCCTGAGTTGGATGATCAGATTGAATACAAAGAACAGTCCAGCACAGGAACAGGCCCTTCGGCCCTCCAAGACTGTGCGAATACATGAAGCCTTTTCTAAACTGAAAATCTTTTACCTCTATACGGTCTGTATCCCTCTATTTCCTGCCTATTCATGTATCTGTCAAGATACCTCTTAAACATTGCTAGTTATCCATCTCCACCACCTCCTCTGGCAACACATTCCAGGCACTTACCACCCTCTGTGTAAAACAAAAAAACCTGCCTCTCACATCTCCTTTAAACTTTACCCCCTTTTACCTTAAAGCTGTGTCTATACTGTGTAGTAATTGATGTTTCTACCCTGGGATAAAGACTCCAATCATCCATGTCTCTCACATTTTGTAAACTTCTATCAGGTTACGCCTCAGCTTGACGTTCAAGTGAAAACAAACCACGTTTGTCCAACCTCTCCTCATAGCTCATACCTTCCAAACCAGGCAACATGCTGGTAAACTGTTTCTGTACCCTCTACAAAGCCTCCACGTCCTTCTGGCAATGTGGTGTCTAGAACTGTACACAATATTCCAAATGTGGCCTAACTGAAATTCCATACAGCTGCAACATGACTTGCCAATTTTTATACTCTATGCTCCGACCAATGATGGAAAGCATGCTGTGTGACTTCTTGATCACCTTACTCACTTGTGTTGCCACTTTCAGTGAACTATGGCCCTGTGTGCCTAGATCCCTCTAAGTTGATACTACTAAGGGTTCTGCCATGTCCATTAGACCTTCCAAAACATATCACCTCGCATTTGTCCAGATTAGACTCCACCTGTCATTTCTCTGCCCAAGTCTCCAGTCTTTTTACATCCTGCTGTATCCTGCTGCAATCCCCCTCACTATCTGCAGCTCCCCCAGTCTGTGTGTCATCCAGAACCTTATTAAACTGGGCCACCTACATTCTCCTCCAAATCATTTAACATATGTTACAAGCGACAGGGGTTCCAGGACTGATCCCTCTGGTACACCACTGGTCAAAGGTCTCCAGTCAGAAAAACACCCTTCCACTGCTACTCCCTGTCTTCACTGACCGAGCCAGTTCTGTATCTATCTTACCAGCTCACCACAGATCCCACGTGACTACACCTTCTGTATCAGCCTGCTATGAGGGACCTTGTCAAAGTCCATATAGACAACATCTACTGTCCTGCCCTCATCAATCATCTTTGTTACTTCCTCAATAAAACCTCAATCATGTTGGAGACACACAACCTTCCCTGCACAAAGCTATGCTGCCCATCGCTAATAAGTGCCTATTTGCTCAAACGTGGGTAAATCCTGTCCCTTAGAATCTTCTCCAATAATTTCCCTACCACTGACCTGATTACTGGTCTGTAATTTCCCAGATTATCTCTTTTGAATGGCAGAGCAGGCTCGAAGGGCCGAATGGCCTACTCTTGCTCCGATTTTCTATGTTTCTATGAATTCCAAATAAAGCAGCATTATACATTGCCAGAGCGGAGCTGGTTAATATCTTAATTACAGCACTTCTTACAAATTACAGCGCCATCTGAATGGAGGTCAGTGAGCTCAGCTCAGGGCATCACACACCGACACAGAGGCAGGCAGCAGCGTGAGGGAGGGTTACCAGGAAACCAGGTCAGCTTACGACATCAGTAAACCAGGTCTAGCCATGGTAAACAAGATCACTCATAAACCACGTCATGTCACCAGTAAACCAGGTCACTGGTAAAGCAGATGAGGCTCCAGCAAGACTACAGGCTGTTGAGGGAGGAGGTCAACTTGGCTGGCTAAGACAGAGCAATGTGGGTCATTATTCAAAACAAAGTTGAAGAAGAGTTAAATTCTACAAGCAGTGAGGTACCAGCCTCTCCCAGATCGCCTGTAATTCACATTCGGATGAAGTGACAGGAATCTGGAATTCCTAATCCTATTTAAAGATTAAAAATGAGATTACAGACAGTCTGAAGCAACAGCCTCACACAGCTGCAATGTGCAAACAGCATCGATATATTTCTTTTAAGTAACCTCACGGTAACAGTGGGAATTACTGTATAGACAGTGCATTCACTATTGGATGGTGCAGTTACCATTTAGTGATTAAAACTGGAACTTCATTTAACAGCCTGTAAAATATACGAGGATGTCCTGACACCGTGAAAGGGTGCTATAGAAATGCATGTTCATTCTTTATCTCCTAACTTTTCCTTCTCCCTCTCCACGGACATAGCCTGACCAGCTGAGACTTTCCAACATTGTGTGTATTTCTGTTGTCGTACTTTTATCACTAACATGTGTCCAGTCTCATCCCTCTCCCTCCCCCAGCCCTCCCACTCTGGTGACATAGCAGGATGGTCACTTTTCACATACACTCCAGACAGTGTCAACAAAGGGCTCTCAGAGTCAGAGGCGCCCCCTTACCCAGTATCCAAACATGCCAGTCCGTGTGTAATTAGTCTCCAGGTCCCGGATGTAGGGCAGATGTGAACACTTGACAAAGACCAGCAGCAGGACTCCTTGCATCCGGATGGAGGTTATCTGGGAAGGCAGAGGTCAGAGGTTAGGGTTGGATACTATGCCCCTTGCTGCCTCCACTCCTTGCAGTTTGTTCCCCCTCAGGTCAAAGGATACCATCTATCCCCAGGTAAGACTGGGTGAAGGGGGCAGTCAGTGGGCACCCCATGGTTTTTGCGGGGGGGAGGTGGGATTCTCAAACCCCAGAAACTCTGGAAGCTGGGAGAAGGGAGGGGGATGGTGCGATGGTCAAGGGGAAAGGGCTTACGAGGGAAGGGGATATAAGCCCCTTATTGGGTAGTTTGTTAGCAGTGATACTGAGCAATGTTTGAAGTCTCGGTTACACACACACATGCACACAACACCACACCACACCGCACCGTGCTGCACTGGCACTGTGAAGCCAGAGGAGGCTCCACCAGGACTGGAGGTGGTTGAGGGAGGAGGCCTGATCAGCTGACTAAGACAGAGCCATGTTTCTGGAATACTAACCGGGTTTAAAGCTAACAGCTGTGCTGCGATTCCGGTTACTTGAATAACCCCTTCGACTGTCTCACCGGTGGGGTCCGTACCTCCAGCTGACTGCCCCCCACCCCTCACTTCCCAAGCCTCTCGTTGCCACTTTAAGACAATTCCAAAAACCTACCACTGGCTCACCTGAATCCATACCTCATGTGCCTCAGTACCATACTTTGTTTCTTTAACGCTCTCGTGAAGCTGCTTGGGATGTTTCAGTGTCTTAAAGGCACCACAGAAATGCAAGTAGTTGTTGCAGTTTTTGGATAACCACATTGATGTGGGATCTCCAACATCCACCTGGACAAGGGGCTCCCAGTCCTCTCAGGCTGGCCTGGTGGGTCCAGGAGTGTTAAGGATTGCAGTGGGGGGCAGGACCTTCCCAGGTGGGATGCAAGGAGCCTCTTCACAAATAGGGAGGGGGCTGGAAACCTGACCCTCTCTCCTGTACGGTCCTTCTATCAAGGCTGGTGCTTGGGCTGGGTAAACCTCCTGGAATATTGCTGGCTGGAGTTGACCCATCCCAGCTGACCCGGGCCAGATGCTGCTGAAGGTTTAACTGTTTGTCCTGACTATGCAGCACTCCCTCAGTATCAGAGAGGCCTGAGCAGAAACTGTGAGCCATTCCACCTGGGCTACCCCATCCCGATATCCCGAGTTTTGGAATTGCAGCTCACAGTTTGCTGTCAGTAAACTCTGACCTGAATCGAGCGATAGGCTGGGGAGGAACGAAAAAAATCTGCTTTGTTGTTTCAAGAAAAGCGGAGAATGTTGGAGAAACTCAGCAGGTCTAGCAGCAACTCTGGAGAGAGACACTGAGTTAATGTTTCGTGGCCAAAGACTTTTCTTCTGAACTTCTGAAGAGGATGTAACCTCCCCCTCCCTGGAGCCTGTCCCACTTACCAGATCAGCTAGCTGTGCACTCTCACTGCTCTCCGTCTCACACGTCCCTCAGAAATCCAAAGGGAGCTGGTGCATTGTAAATTTGAAATCTCTCATCAAGCACACCCCAGCCTTGAAAGAAGTACTGTCCAGGAAAGAGGGTCAGGTTTCCAGCCCCCTCCCTATTTGGGAGGAGGCTCCTTGCATCCCACCTGGATGGGAAGGTCTTGCACCCACCCCCCACCTCCCACCAGTCAATCCCGATGGTGAGGGGCCCAGTGATTCCGGCTGGGATCTGATCAGAATCTTCTCCAAGGATTAACTGCAGCTCCCTCACCCTGTATTGCAGCCCCATGGAGATCCAGCCCATCCTCCTGGTCACGGTCTAATTGCTGCTGGGAGCTTGCTGAAGATTCAGCTTCACATTTACCTTAACATAGCCGAGTGGAGCCAGTGAGTTGGTGAACAGGATGGTCCAGGGGTCACTGAAAGCCAGGTCAACGAGGAACGAAGACAGCTTCGAGTTCAGTTCCTGTAAACTAATTGAAATTGTTAGAGTTTGGGCTCAGACCTCACATTATCTCGTGCCAAAAGTCCCAGCTACCAGCACCCCACCCGCTCCCCCCGCAACCCCCCAACAACCATCTAACCCCAGCAACTCTTCTCAACAACCAATCATTATACAGTCTTGGTGAGTGGTACTGAGCCACACTGTGGTGGTGGTGGGGGGCGGGCCTGGGCACAAATCCCAGGCCTGTGAGGGTGGGGTTTAAACTGTTCGTTACCCAACCCCCACCACCAAACCTGATGGTGTCAGATTAGCCACAGGCCTCTGGTCCCCACTCCCCCAATCCCCATTTCCCGCTCCCCCGATCCCCACTACCCACTCACCCAATCCCAGGCCACACTCACCCGATCACATACATGTCCGGCTCCTGGCTCTGACCAGCCAAATGCAGTAGGTCACCGACATCATCAGGAGGAGACGCTGTTCCCACATTCCAGCTCAGAATGTGCAGCCTGGAACGGGGTGGGGGTTGGGGAGAGACAGGGGAGAACAGGGAAAGTGGGGGGGAAAAAGGTGGGAGGGAGAGGGACAGAAACAGACACTTCATGACAAAACATTAATCACAAAAATGTGTCCAGTGAGTAATCCCAGCAGCTAAATCGGAAAGGACAATGGGAAAAAAAAAAATTCCCATAGAAGAGAGGCTGCAGCCGTACCCCAGTGAGAGTCAGAGTCAGTGTGTGTGGGAGCCGTACCCCAGTGAGAGTCAGTGTGCTGTCAGATGGAGACAAGGTGAATCAGGAAAAGATCGAGGGGATCAGTAACTTTGCCCAGTGCCTACCTTGTCACACTGTCTCTTAGGGAAGAAGGTTTGTGGTGAGTTGCTGGGTTTGTCCATGCCCCCAGGCCACGATCATACACAGGGGAAATAGCTCTGACCCAGTTCCTCCTGCTTCCAGCCAAGTCAATTGTCAGTGGCTCAGCAACTAACCATAACTCCCCACTGGCCATGCAGAGGGTGGCATTCACTCTACGATGGTCAAAACAAACAATCCACCACTTCTTTCCTCCATCTAGATCGGTTTTCCTCCCTTCTTTCCTGCAGCATTCCCTCCTCCTGTGCTTCTCTATATCCTTGTCTGCCTCTCCCTTCCCCATATATTTCTGTCTGCCATTCTCTGCCTCTCTCTCTCTCTCCCCCCTCCTTTCCCTCCCCCACCAAGTCTCTGTCCCACGTTGAGTTCCACACAGATTACACGTCAAATCCTCTTTTCTCCATATAATGGACCCAGTTCCAATTAGTGAATCTCTTGCTAATGAGTGAGAACAAAGTGACCCAGTCACTGGTGTTTTCCAAAACATTAATGAGAACAGATTTACTTGTAAAACAGAATCACATGGTTTGAAAGAAGACTGATAATTTAAACCAGTTGGGGAAATTGAGGATTATGGAGTTAGGAACATGAGGAATGACAGCTCAGCCATGATCCTATTGAATGGTGAAGCAGGCTTGAGGGGCTGAATGGCCTGCTACTGTTTTTTCTGATCTTAACTTGAGCAGGTCATTAGATGTTGGGCAGAGAGCAGCAGGGAATTGACACTTTTTGGCCTGGACGGGGGTTTCACAGTGGGCCCCCCAGGGGGGTGTGTTTGGGATCTTTGCTAATGCTGTTTATGTAGAAATGATGTGTGATTGGCAAGAGGGAATGTGAGTTTGTAGCTGCTGAATAACACCAAAAAACTTGATGAACAGAATAGGAACAGAATTCAGGAGGATGTAGACAGACACATGGCAGATACATAAAATAAAACAACAAACTGCAGGTGGAGGAGATCTTACAGGAAGCCTGCCGTCAGCGGTGGGTAAGCAGTTGGTGGGATTTGGAGAGACGGGATTTACACACATTTGGAATGGCGAGGACCGATTAGGGATAGTCAGCATGGTTTTGTGCGTGGGAAATCATGTCTCACTAACGTGATTGATTTTTTAAAAGAGGTGACAAATAAGACGGATGAAAGCAGAGCGGTAGGTGTTGTCCATATAGACTTCAGCAAAGCGTTTAACAGTTTAAGGTTCTTGCGAAGGTCTGTAGCTCGGGTTGTGGGTGAGGTTGTTGACTTGCTTGCTGAGCTGGCTAGTTCTCCTTCAGACGCTTCATCACTATGCTAGGTGATATCATCAGTGGAGCCGCCGATGAACCGATGTTATTCTACTCCACTTGGAATTTATACTGTCCGGTCCGTTATGGTGAGTAGTGTCATTTCTGGTTCTTTTTTCTCAAGAACATCAAAATCATCAATGTCAAGATTATTGTATCCTTTGATGTTACAGCGCTATTCACATCCATTGACATCCCTCTAGCCAAAGAAACACTGGCCACGTTACCAGAGGAAACAGAAACGCCAACCAACAGTTCCATCAGCAAGGACAACATACACAAACTACTGGACCTATGCCTCACCACACACTTCACCTTTAACAGTCAAGTATACAAACAGATTAATGGGGTCACCATTCTCAGGACTTATTGCAGACCCAGTCAGGCAAAGATTGGAATGCATCACCCTCCCCCACATACAGCCAAAACTGTGGATATGATATATGGACGACACATCTGTCATCATTAAATGCATTAAGTTAGAAGAAACACATCACCTCGTCAACAACGTATTCACCGGGATCAAATTCACAACAGAAGAGAAAACAAGAATCAACTTTCGTTCCTAGACGTCAGTGTAGAATGAACGACGAACAGGGAGTTCCAAACCAGGATACAGGAAGGCAACTCACACTGACCAAATCCTCAATTTCCACAGCAATCAGACTGACGTCCACAAACAAAGCCGTGTAAGGACATTTTTCAAACAGGCCACAACCCATTGCAACACACCGGAACTACACAAGAAGGAGGAAGAGCACCTAAACAAGGTCTTTGCTATCAATGGATACCCCACCAACTTCAAGCGCAGATGCCTACTAGATAGACAACACCATGAGGACACAATACGATCTAATACACTGGCCACACTACTGCATGTCAAGAATATATCAAAACAGACAACGAGACTCCTACGACCACTAGGAATGATAATGGCACATAAACCTACAGCCACACTGTGACAAACACTCATAAGGACCAAAGACCCCAGACCCACGACATGCGGGACCAACGTGGTGTACAAAAAGGACTGCCAAAAACATTACATTGGCCAGAGCGGTAGGAAACCAGCCAACAGGATACACGAACACCATCTAGCACCAAAATGACACAATGAATTTTCCCTCATCTCAGTGCACTTACACAGTGAAGGCCATCAATTTAACTGGGACAACATGACCATCCCAGCTCAAACCAACCACAGACACACACAGGAATTCGTAGAGGCCCAGTTTTCAACCTATAACGCAATCAACAAACATGTGGGATTAGACCCTGCATACAAACCCTTGCAAAAAAGAACCAGAAATGACACAAAACACCCCAACAGACCGGATCATATAAATACCAAGCTGAGTAGAACTACATCGCTTCATTGGAGGCCGCACTAGCATGATGATGTTGTTACCTAGCACGGTGATGAAACGTCTGAACGAGAACCAGCCAGCTCAGGGAGCAAGCCAACAACCTCTGTGTTCAACAAGGTTCCGCATGGTAGGCTGCTTAGCAAGGTTAGATCACATGGGATCCAGGGAGAGCTAGCCAATTGGATACAACATTGCCTTGAAGGTAGGACACAGAAGGTGGTGGTGCAGGGTTGTTTTTTGGACTGGAGGCCTGTGACCAGCGGTGTGCTGCAAGGATTGGTGCTGGGTCCACTGCTTTTAGTCATTTATATTCACATTCAAATCATTTATATAGGAGGCATGGTTAGTAAGTTTGCAGATGACACCAAAATAGGCTTTATAGTGGACAGTGAAGAAGATTATCTCAAGGTATAATTAGACCTTGATCAGATGGGCTGAGGAGTGGCAGATGGAGTTTAAATTATCCAAGTGTGAGGTGCTGCATTTTGGTAGGGTTAATCAGGGCAAGACTCATACACTTAATGGTTAGGTCCTGGGGAGTGTTGCTGAACAAAGTCTTGGGGATGTAGATGCATGATTCTTTGAAAGTGGAGTTGCAGGTAGACAGGGCGGTGAAGAAGGCTTTTGGCACATTTGCCCTTATTGGTCATAACATTGAGTATAGGAGTTGGGAGGGTCATGTTGCAGCTATACAGGACATCGGTGAGGCCACTTTTGGAATACTGTGTGCAATTCTGATTGCCCTTCTATAGGAAGGATCTTGTTAAACTTGAGAGGGTGCAGAAAAGATTTACAAGGATGTTGGCAGGTTTGGAGGGGTTGAGTCATAGGGAGAGACTGAATAGGCTGGGACTGTTTTCCCGTGAGCATCGGAGATTGAGGAGTGACCTTATAGAGGTTTATAAAATCATGTGGGGCATGGACAGGGTAAATAGACAAGGTCTTTTCCCTCGGGTACAAAACTAAAGGGGCATAGGTTTAAGGCGAGAGGGAAAAGATTTAAAAGGGACCTAAGGGGCAACTTTTCCACACAGAGGGTGGTGCGTGTATGGAACGAGCTGCCAGAGGAAGTGGTGGAGGCTGGTACAATTACAACATTTAAAAGGCATCTGGATGGGTATATGAATAGGAAGGGTTTAGAGGGATATGGGCCAAATGCTGGCAAATGGGACTAGGTCAGATCAGGATGTCTGGTTAGCGTGGATGTGTTGGACTGAAGGGTCTGTTTCCATGCTGTATGATTCCGAGTCTGTATCTGAAACAGAAACAGAAATTGCTGGAGAAATCCAGCAGGTCTGGCAGCAACTGATGAAAAGTAACTGAACTTGGAACGTTAACTCTGCTTCCTTTCCACAGATGCTGCCAGACCTGCTGAGTTTTTCCAGTAAGTCACTGATACCAAGAATGAAAGATTTCAGCTATGTGCAGAGATAGGAGACTGGATTAGAGCAGAGGTAACTGTGAGGAATGCTAAACGATATGTTCCAGATCATGAAGAATTGTGATGGAGAAAGTAGGGAGAAGCAACTTTCTTTAACCAGTGGTTTGTCAGATTTAAATTAATTGACAAAGGAACTGGAGGGAGCTAAAAGGATGGTGGAATCAGATTTCGGAGGACCTTTCAAAATACTAACAGGCAAGTGCCTGTGTCACAGAATCATTATGGTACAGAAGAAGGCCAATCTTCCCATCCAGTGCATGCCAGCTCTCTGGCACTGACTGGATTACTCTACATTCTCCTTGTGAGCCTGAAAGGCCAGTGCCTTCAGGTGCCCAACCACATCCCTTTTGAAATCATACAGGAACAGGTCATTCAGCCCATCAATGCTGCTTGGGATTCAACTCCACTTCCTTGTGTGGTCACTGTATCCCCTCAATTCTCAGAGAGCATCCTTCCATCTTTCTCCAACATATTGAATAGTGGAGCATCCGCTCTCGTCAGCATTAGACAATTCCGAAGATTCACAAACTGTGGAGGGGGAGGAAATAGCTCCTTGTTTCACCTCAAAATGATCACCCACCGCCCCCCAACCCTTTACCCAGACAGCCACTCCCTCCAGGGGGAACTGCCTCTGTGTTGACCCGGTCAAGCCCCGTTTGGAATCTGGAAGTGTCCGTGAGATCCCTTCATTCATCTAAACTCCAGAGGAATATCGACCCAATTTCCTCAGCGTCGCAGCTCCCCCATCAGCGTCCCTGCGCCCCACCCCCATGACCATCCGCAGAGTTCCAGCCAATATCATCACTGCGTCAAAACAATTCTTTTCACACTAACGCCCACCCCCCCACACTAATCCTTCCCAAACCCGATGTCCCCTACTCCAGGCTGAATGGCCTCCTGCCATGCTGTCAGATTCCGATTCAATCAGGATTCACTTTGAGTTGCTGTTAAACATCCTGACTGTTAGAGTCTCTCATTGAAATGGGAAACAGACCATGGTCCAGCTGGCACCGGACCTACCCCCCCACCATCACCCTGCGGGCAATGTTCCTCTTTGGTTAGGATAACAACTGACTTGTCTGTGATGCCTCGTGGTCAAATATCCCAGTGACACTTAATGGCCTGGTGGCTATGTTAATAGAGGAGTGATTAACCACCGACCTCGCCCTCCAGGACTCAGTGCCCTCAGAAGGGGCGAGGGGTGGGAGTTGGCATCTCCGAGGTCCCTTACCCAAACTTGACGAGTTTGTTCATTCCACGCACAACACTCAGGCCCTCAGCAGCAAGGCAGGTCTCCATCCTCCACCTGAGGGCAGGGCAGACAGAGAGAGAGAGAGAGAAATCACAACCTGTATCGAATGTTGGGGTTGGGGGGGGGGGGGGGGGGGTTTATACAAGACACTTTAATATAGCAGCTTGGATGCCACTCAAGACAGAGAATCAGCTTTCATTTCCATAGCGCCTTGCACAACTTCAGACATCCCAAAAGCACTTTGCAGCCAATGCGTGAAGTGTTGGAATGTAGGAAGGGGGCCAGACAAAGTGTGCACAACAAGATCCCATAAACAGTCATGTGATGACGACCAGATCAGCTGATGTGGGTGGTGCTTGACGGATCAGAAGAGAGCTCAAGGCCATCAGGAAGAAGGTACAAATTAAGAGCAGAAGGTGGCCGTTCGGCCCTCCAGCCTGCGCCACTATTTAGTGTGAGGTGATTCAGTCCTCAACACCACTCCCCACTCCCCCCCCCCCCCCCCCCCCCCCCCCCC